GGGGGGGAAGCATATGGGAACTAGAGGAAAGCTGTATGTTTCATTGTTGCTACACTGCACCCTGACTGGATCATCTTCTTCCCGTAACCCTTCTGTTAGGGGATGTCCAGTTGCCTACAGATGGGCATGGGTCCCGACTCCGCACTCCCCCTCCTTCACAATGATAGGATTTTTTGTTCTTTGATGCAGGGCTATACTCTGTAAACATCCTGTAGTAGTTTTTAAGTTGTATATGATGATGACAGTTGTCAGTTAGGAGCCTGGAGCTGCTGTTGGGGAAGCTAATATTACTATAGCAGCTCATTTAAAAAACAACTATGCCATCACATGCAACTTAACATCGACTCCAGAACGCTTCTAAAATACAGACAACTTGGATAGCTTAGTGAAAGCAGTCTTGGAAACCCTAAGGCCCAGTTCTAGTTTGCCGCTATGAGTTGCAATAGACTTGAAGGCAACAGGTGTTTCTTTTTTTTTTTTTTGGGGGGGGGCGTTCATAAAGGACAATTTCTGAAAGTGTACACTTTTTTCCAGCTTTTGAAATCAAGACGCTTCTTTTAAAATAAGGCAGCTGACCCATAATAAAAATTGTCCATTTGACTAAGTCTCTTATCATCACTATTAGAACTAGCAAGATATATCTACAGAGACACAATTTAACGCATATTCCACAGCACTGTTTTACAAAAGAAAGCACCCTCCACAGTCCCTGGAGGCGGGTGAGCACCTCAGCACAGTGCGTTAGCTCGGCATCGGTTCATTTTCGGAGAGCTGGGCAGCAGAGCAGGCAATATGCACTACTCTGGACATTTCCTTCTCATTTACAACCCTCACTCCTTCTTATAATAAAGGTATACAAGCAAAATACTAACAAATACAAACGTGTATGGAAATTTCATGTTTTTTTTCAATTTGCAATGTGACTTTCTTAATAATACTGTAACTCTTTATTAACTTATGCTTATAGACCCTATAAGAGTTTCAAAATTCAGTTATAAAATAATCTTCTTACTCTATTTTCCCTTCAGGATCCTGTACATTTCTAATTATTTTTACATAATCTTTTTGGCATATTCAGTATCAATCTTAACTCTTTTCTTTAAAATAATTACATCATTTTATTGGGGCTTGTACAACTCTTATCACAATCCACACATACATCCATTGTGTCAAGCACTTTTGTACATTTGTTTCCCTCATCATTCTCAAAACATTCTTTCTACTTGAGCCCTTGGTATCAGCTCCTCATTTTTTCCCCTCCCTCCCCCCTCCCCCATAAACCCTTGATAATTCACAAATTATTATTATTTTGTCATATCTTATACCATCGATGTTTCCCTTCACCCACTTCTCTGCTGTCCGTCTCCCAGGGAAGAGGTTATATGTAGATACTTTTATCAATCTTAACTCTTAAACACCAATTTGCTGTCTCTAAATCTTTACCTTCTTTGAAATCATCTAGGTAGTGTCTACATATTTTGTCATTTAAAATATTTAACTTTTCAATGCTTTTTTATTTAAAATTTTGTTCTATATCTAGTTAAAGGATTTATCCCTGACTAAGCATTTCCTATTAATATAATTTCTTCTAAACTCATATATACATCTCAAGTTTCTTTGACTGAGGAAACTTAAGTAAATTACTTTATTTGGGCAGAGCCTTGTTTAATTAACTTATAAAGTGGAAATTACTGCATATTCTAGAAGGGAGTTAAGAATCACATTTATTAATCCTAATAGTTTTTGTAAACTTTTTAAATGTATAATAATAAATAACTATTACACTAATACTTGAAAAACGATATTATAAATATTATGTGCACTCACCTGTACAATGTAAATAAATGCTTGAGATACACCATGTTCTTTGGTAAAATAGTTGAAAGCTCTCCAAAGAGCAACTCCAACATCATTCTTTCCATCAACTTCCTCATCTGTATTAAGAATAAACACAAAACCAATTCTGGAAGAAGAAGATGAAACCACGAATGCCACATTACCTCATGAATAACAAAGAGCCTCATTATCTTACAAAAACTATGACCTTAGACAGAAGGTGGTATTGGATGACATAAGTGAAGACATTACTATTTATAGAAGTTTCACTTTAAGCCTTATTCACACCAACATTTTTATAGATACTTGCAAACTGTTAAAGTCTTTTTTTAAACAGTTTTATTGGCACATAATTTATGTATAACATACACTCCAATGCAATCATTCAATCATATCAAGGTAACTTGTACAATCATTACCATATCAATTTTATAGCATTCCCTTCCCCTATGGCTAAATCACCTTTAAAATGGGTTATGCAATCAGTCAGTTCTAGTACTCCCTCCCCTCTCCCATCTTCGTTTCCCACTCCCCAAATCTCCCTTCCCACCCTATCACCCACTCCCACCCCTACATCTCCTATCAACGCCTGTATCTGTTATCATTATGCATTCATTCATCCTGTGGGTCACAAACTGGGAAACCCAACAGAAACAATAAAAAAGAAATTCGAAATAAGGTGGTAAGGATAAAATACTAGTAGACAGAGACCACAATACAAACAATGAGTAAGAAAGAAAAGACCCTAAGTAACATTCCAAAGGCCAGGGAGGAAGTACCTGTCAAGGCACAAGTCAGCGATACTTGCCCACAGAGCCAATTCAGGTTGGGTCTATAGGGAGGTCATCTGGCCAAGCACAGAGTTCAATTCTGCATATTCAAGGTTACAATGGTCTCTGCCTGACAGCAAAGCTGTTTGAGACTCTTGCCCGTGGCTAGAGCGGACCTGCCAGTGGCTCAGTCTGAGCAGACACTCTGCAGTTTTGGGCTCCCACTGTCTTCCATGGCCTGCTACAAATTGGGGATTCATAATTTTAGCTCTGATACTTTTCCCTTTGCCATATTCAGATTTTTTAATTGTCATCTTTGGATGGCAAAAGCTAGTGTGCGTCTTCCAAGTGGCCTTAGTTGACTCCTCACTTAGATGGCTGCTTGTTTGCATATAAACCTTTAGGACCCCAAACACTATTACAATTGATAGCTGGGCACCACCTACTTTCTTCATCACCCATTGCTGTAGCACCCTTTTCTTCAGTGATTCTTTCATGAAGGCAAGTATCAAGCACAGGGCCATGGTATCAGAACAAAGTGTTCTTAAACTGGGGCTAGAGTTAATTAGAAGCCCAGACTCTATTTGCATTTCCATGCTGTTTACACATTTCAGGTTTACTTTGGCAATCATAATATGACAAAATCACAATCCTATAATATCGATTGCATCATTAGCAGTCATATGCCAATCAGCAACCAAGCAGAATACAAACACCCAGAAAGAAAGAAAAAATAAAATCACAGAAAAGCAAGCTACAAGTAGGAAAGCAAAAACCCATAAAAACAAAGAAGTACACAGCATTGTCGATCACCCCCCTGGGGTATATGTTGATTGCACTATTGTCATCATCAATTTTCCCAATGACCCAGCACTCCAAACAATGTCAGTAGGAGGAGTTTATGTGGGTGCAGTTTCACCTTGAGCCGCAACACATGAGTTTTTGTCCTACACAGTTCAATCTTTCATTTGATTGGGCTCTACTGGCCCTAAGTATGGGGGTCAATGCCAGTGGGGGTCTTCCTGGCCAACTCCTCCAAGTGCATATCCCTGTTCAGTGGGTCCCAACCTCTCGAGTCACCTTAGGGTGGTCACTGCTTGGTGACCCTGGGCCCCCTTCCCACCAGACACTTCCCGAGCTGGGGTTCCCCACAAGTTCCAACCACTGTCACTCCGACAATCCTGGGGGAGCCAATCTCTGTTCCCTCTCCCATTCAAGTAACCTAGCCCTCTGTCCAAAGGTGAAGGAGGCTTTGAGGTAGGGTTCAGTCCATTCAGCAGGGCCTCTATGTTAAGTACTTCTGGTGTAGCTCCTGAGTTGTGCCCTCCTACCTGGCAGGTTGGCTTCCGTGAGCATCCTGGTGCTTACTCCATAATGCTGTTCACCGAAGGTTGGGTAGAAACGAATTTGTAGTGTCTACCCAGGTATCTAAAATCTGGCTCATTGTCCCACTAGGATCCCTATACTCATTGTGTAACATCCCTTCCCGCTATGTGGTTAATTCTCCCCAATTACCCACCACACGCAACAATGTCTCCTCAACAATGTAGGTAGTCCCCTCTTGTGGCCTTGGCTTGAATTTCCAGAAAGCTTGTTTCTTCCTTTGCTGTGGGGGGGGCAAAATGATTTTCCCCATTCTTTTGTTGTCACTGTACAGCCTCAAGGGGATGACCATCTCCCAATTCCTCCTTGAAGGAGCGAAGCCAGACAATGTGGGGCCTCCTCCTTCATGCTGGCGCTTATTAAGTGTGCAAAAGGGAGATGATGCATGGATTGTGGACAGTAGGTAGCCTTCTCTTCTTTTGTTCAGGAATTTGTTCCTAGGATTTGTTAAGTTGATGCTTCTTCTTATAGTGGTGAATTCATACAATTCCTGTCCTTTTGTGATTGGCTTACTTCACTCAGCATAATGGTTTCCAGGTCTTTCGATGTCATGCAGTGTTTCATGCTCTCATTGCTGTTTTGGGCTTTTTTTAAGGAATGCATAGTATCCCACTGTGTGTATGTACCATAGTTTCTTTATCCATTCTTCCACTGTTGGGCATTTGGGTGCTTCCAGTTTCTTGCTACTGTGAACTGTGCTGCTATGAACATGGGAGAGCATACCTCCTCTCATATGTGTCTCTTATTTCTTTAGGGTATATGCCTAATAGTGGTGGTGCTGGATCATAAGGGATTTCAAGTTCTACAAACTGTTAAATTCTCTCTTGTGACAATATCCAATGTCCCTGTTTTCCTGAGGGAAAGGGGTATGCATGGGTCTTTCTGTAAGTTTCCAACGTGATCAAATAATCCTCTCAGAAAGGTATCAAGGTAAACAAGATCACTAGGCATCTTTGATTAATAAAGTCTATCAAGAAGATTGCTTTGAATTCCACATTAGTATTCTGTATAACATAATACAAACAGTTCTCAATTTAATGTTATAAAATAGTAATTACCTAAGAGGAATTTTATGATAATAGAATAGTTCAGCAATTCTTATAAAATCCAAGGTATATTCTTGAGCAGGATCAATAAATAGAACCTGCAATAAAAGTGGACAGAATAACTACTTTGCTTCAATTCTTTAAAATTTTTATGAAGTTCAAGTTAAGTCTAATTTCTGTAGCTAAAAGTATGAAATTCAATGTATGCTTTGCTTTACAAATCTCTGGCAATTGTATTCTAAAGAATGCAAAAACTATATATAAAATTTTCAAAATTTATGATGAATTTCTAGAAGCTGAATACGAGGGGGTCCCTCCACTCCAAAACAGAATTCCACTGGCAGAACAGAGCTTTTGTAGTACAAATTTTCCCCACTAGTCGAGCCTCGAGCAACTCGCAACTCGTTCTGAGTTAGTGCACTCAGTGGCATCCCCTGGGAAGGTTCTCTCTGGTCACAATGAGTTTTTTCTTAAAAGTTTCACTCAAACCTTGTTTTTTGTGATGGCTGATTTAAGAGAACAGCATTCAGCTATGAAATTTTGTTTCCAGATTGGGAAAAATGCCACAGTAACTGTTGTGATGTAGAACACAGCCTATAAGGGCCGTGTAATGGGACAAAAGTACATGAGTGGTTTTCTCGTATCAAAAAAAGGCGAAATGTCAACTGATGACAAATCTCGTTCTGGACATCTGTCAACTCCCCTAACAGATGAAAATGTTGACTTGTAGTGCATTTGGACCAGGTCAGACAGCGAATCAAGTTTTCTATTTAGAGGTTCTGAAAAGATTGTGTAACAGTGTGTTATAAAAAAGGCCTGATTTGTGGCAGGTGAGGGACTGGTTTTGCCACCACGACAATGCACCTGCTCATGCAACCATCTCAGTGTGCCAGTTTTGGGCAAAAAACAGCTTGCCTCTCTTGCCCCACACACCTTACGCACCTGACCTGCTCCTTGCGACTTCTTTCTGTTTCCATAACTGAAGAGGGGCCGTGAAAACACAGCAATTTGACCACATAGAAGAGGTGAAGAAAATAATGAGGGAGGTGCTGTCAGCCATCCAAAACAGATGAGTTTAAAAAATGTTTCCCAAGAATGGAATCACTGATATGACAAATGCATTAAGTGTAATGGAGAGTACTTTGAAGGTGGTAGGTTGTTTTGTAAAAAAATTTAAATACATAGCATTTGGAAAAAAAAAAAAAAATTCCGGGTTTGGGGGTGGCCCCTTTGTATCTACTGATATTCTGTGGAATTTAATATCAGTTACTCATCTTTTTTGAAGCCAAAGAATATATATTTTCTATGTACTGAATACTTTATTATAAAAGATTCATTAGATTTTCTATAATATAATTTTTTTCAAAAAGGAAACAGTTGAATTATGATAAAAAATAGGATTATTATAACTACTTTCTCAAAGTTGTTACAGGAAGTAAGATATTTACACTTATGTAAAAATAAATCAAAGCACCAGATGCTTTTAATAAATTACAAAGTCCCCATTAATATTGATTGGGTTGTCGATATTATAATAAATAACATATGCCTAGACTATTACAAGGTCATATTTATGTATTTTCCATAATATACATAAAACTGTAATACATAGGACTTACAATTCTCAGAAACAGGGAAGCCTAAAAGGCCAACCATACTTGATAGAACTGTATGAATCCCTTATAATATAGAACAAAGAAAACTTCTATCATAAATGCCCTTGAGAAGATAAACAAGTAGGCAATAAACTTTATATTGACTTAAAAACTACATGTGGATTGAATAACAAGCAAGCCATTAATACTAAGAGGCATAAACCATTACTAACTCTTATCCAGTCAGCCATGCCACCTCAAACTTGTTGCATTAGGCAAATCCTTCCATTTTTACTACACAGATGTCTATTTAGGAAATAAAAATATATTGACAACTCCATAAAAAATACATATAGATTAGCAAAATATGAAACTTACCAAGTTATGAAAATTACGCCTTATGAAAGGTATGTTTCCAGGGATTGCTGACTTCAGAAGTTCCTGGCAACTTGTAGGCCAAGTGACATACAAATCATCATGTTCTAAGTCATTAATCCACTAAAAATGAATCCAGAAATTCGTGAAAGATGACAAATCATTTTCAATGCCATATTTTCACTACATCAAGAGCAAATATATATGGAATTTTCTGTATCTTTGATTAAATATTAGAAGGAAGTTGAATATTCTTTAAATTAAGAAACATGTGCAATGCCTTTATATGATCTTACATTTAAGGCGTCCTCCAAAATTAACTGACTTCTTTCACGCATGTATTTGTGTTTTTATTACACATAATTAGATCATGAAAAACATACCCATAAACCATTAAGATAAATAAACATATCTTAATTATTAGAAGCAGAGAAGGCAATGATGTCCTCTAATTCTTCTATCTTAAAAGCTTGGGCTTAAGGAAAATTGCCAAACTAAATTCATTGCCATTGAGTAAATTCCAATGCATGGCAACCAAATTTGCTACCGAGCCGAAAGGCACCAGAGGGTTTTCTTGGTTACAAGATTTATAAACCAACTTAGCCTGTCCTTTCTTCTGTGGCACGAGTGAGAGGGTGTGAACTACCAAGCATTAGGTTAGAAGTCAAGGACGAACCTTTAGCACAACCCAGGAAGGGATCTTATGGAAAATAAAATGCCTTTAAAAAGCTACAGAAAACAAACCACTGTTTAATTAAAGCTTCCCCTCATTTGGGGGGGATGGAGGTGGGTGGGGGCTAAGGAGCAATCAACACTCAAGAATTGAGGATTTACAATTCTTGGAAACAGGTAAGCCTAAAAGGCCAATTATACATTTTAGTGTTGTCCCTAGAAACATTTTTTCAAATTACAGCCTTGAGAAATAGAGTTCAAATAGGAAGTGGCAGTTATATTAGGCTGGAAAGAAAATAATTCCATTAGAAGTTGCCAAATTGCTGAATTTGAGAAGAAATTCAGAAGTGACTACTTCTGTGACTGCAGGAAGGTATGCAAATAGTGTAGAGACCAAATCTGATCTCCTTTGGCTACCCAAGAGAGAAAGAGAATCCAACTCCACCTGACTGCCCTAAAGCAGGGGTGAGACATGCTTCCACCCTCCATCCTCTTCCCCCTATTCTGATATCAGCGGCTCATCCCATGACTCTACTTTTCTGCTGGTTTCTACAGTCGATTACAACAGCCACATAGAACTCACAGAAAATATACACAAGTAAGGGGTTTGTTAGGGAAATTAAGGGGTTATCAGAAGTGAGGATCCTAAAACATTAAGGATATGGCTTTTGGTCCACAGTAGCACCTCCCCGCAGTCAACAGCCAACTCTCTCTCTCTCTCTCTGGTCGTGTCTCTCAGTTCTTTGACCTCTGCTTCTGTGGGCTAGGAAGCCCATATGCGGCTCTACTTCCGTCTAATATTCTCAATGCTGCTCCTCTGCTCTGTCTCATGGTCTCCTTGTCTCTGCCTCTGGTCTCAGTGTAGTATGGCCTCTGTTTCTCCTACAACTGCATCCAGGGATTTCAGGTGTGTGCTGCTGGTGGCTCTCCTTCCTTCATGATTCTGGGAATTCTCTCAGTTCCTGCTTCGGAGATAGCTCTCTTCAGAGCCAGGGTGATGGCAACTAAACTGACCGATTCCTTGTATTAGTGTTCCACACACCATGTTTGCATAGTCCCACCCAATCATCGGGTGAGAGTAAAAGAAACATGGATAGAACAATCATGTTAAGAATTTTATTTCAACACAAAAGGTAATCAAAATATCTCCATAAACATTCCATTTAATTCCTCTGCTGACTCATAATTGTACAGATATAGAACAACATTCCAAAAACAAAACAAAATCTATAGAGACAGTAACTGGATTAATGATTCCTTGGGTGTACGGCAGTGGAGGTTGGATGGAAATAGGTAGCTAATAAGGATGAGTGCAAGACTGAAGAAAATATTTTAAAACTGATTGTGGTGATGAATGTACAACTCTTCTTGATGTAACTGAATTATTGAATTTTATGATATGTAAATTGCATGATATGCCAATAAAACTGTTGGGAAAAAATGCAACAGCAAATTGAAACCGGAAAGTTAAAGCTGTAGCAATTAAGATGGTACTGAGGAGCCATTGTAACATCTACCATATAAATGGGATACAAGAAGATCCTAACATCAGATGCTGAAAAGGCATTTACAAAACAACAGTTTTCATTCAACAAGTGAAGGAAATGAGATTAGAATGGAATTCTGTCAACTTGATAAAGGATGTTGCTGAAAAAACCAATAGAAAACGTCATCCTTAACAATGAGAGGCAAAGAGTTCTGTTTGTAAAGAACAAAATAGGATATTCACTTTTGTTATGTCTGGTCAGCATTTCATTTGAGGTTCTAGTCAGAGCAAGAAGGTAAGAAAATGGAATAAGCAGAATCCAAGTTAGAAAGGAAAAATCAAAATATCTCTATTTACAAAACCTAGTGGTAACTAAAACTCTTGCTCATCAAACATCAGGATTTGCAAAACTACTAAGCAAAAACTATCATCAAGATTAAGATATAAATATATTAAAGTAGGATTACAGAATTTGAACCAAGAATTCTAAGTCAGATACTGAGGCTTTTATTCTGCTATATGACAACAATTTTGAACAATACAAAAATTTATTCAAGCCACGCTAAGAAGATGATGTGCAATTGGCAACCCAATGTCATGCTGACCAATGTTTTACTGCTTCTGACCAGAAATCTGTTTTACTAGATCTTGTAAGGTGAAGAATGGGAGAAAGAGGAGGCTTCTGACTCTTGTAAAGAGTTACACTCTTAGAAGCTCACAGGGACTGTTCTACACTGTCCTGCAGTCACTGAGCGAGCACTGACTGATGACACCGAGATTAGAGTAAGGGAAGCAAATGAATCAAATCAATTTACCGCTGATCAAGCCATATTCAGGTCCCATATTGCCGCCACGGCAACTTCGAACTTTTCTGCGTTTATCATGATATTACCTATTGGTTCAGTTGTGAGGATTTTTCTTTTCTTTATTTTGAGTTGTAATCCATATTAAAAGACAAAATACCCATTTATAAACTATCAAGGGCTCATGCGGGAGGGGGGAGCGGGGAGGGAGGGGAAAAATGAGGACCTAATGTCGGGGGTTTAAATGGAGAGAAAATGTTTTGAGAAACGATGTACAAATGTGCTTTACACAATTGATGTGTGTATGGATTGGGATAACAGTTGTATGAGCCCCTAATAAAATGTTAAAAAAGGAAAAAAAAAAAAGATTTCAAAAATAAAAAAAATAATAAAATAAAAGCTGCAAACCTGGATCTTGATCTTCACCAGCACGTCTTTCACACCCTCCTCATTTTCAGCAAGCAAAGTTGTGTTTTCTGAATATTGTAGTGTGTTAAGCATTTCCCCAATTCTGATACCACATTCTTCTTCAGATAATCTAGCGAATTTTCTGATTATTTGCTCAACAAACAGATTGAATAAATATAGTGAGAGGATACAATCCTGCCACATACTTTTATTGACTTTAAACCCTGCAATATTCCCTTGTTGTTTGCACAACTGCCTTTTGATCCATGTAACAGATCCATGAGAGCAGAGTTAACTGTTCTGGAATCCCTGTTCTTCTCAGGGCTAACCCTAGTTTGTTATGACCCATAAAGTTGAATGCCTTTTCAGTTTTCAATAAAACCAGTGAAACAAGTAAATATCTTTCTGATAGTCTCTGCTTTCAGCCAAGAGCCATCTGCCATCAGCCATGATACTCCCCTGCACGTCCTCTTCTAAATCAGGCCCGAGGCTCTGGCAGCGCCCTGTCAATGTCCTGCTGCGACTATGGTTGGAGGGTTTCAGCAGGTTTTCACTCGCATGTGACATGAGTGACGCTGTTCCCTAACTTATGCATGCTGTGGGGTCAGCTTTCTTTCAGTAGGTACAAACACAGTTCTCCTCCACCAGCTGGCAACATGACAAATGGAGGAAAGACTGAAGTTGTCAAGGACGTCATCTTGTCCAGATTCAAAATCAACGCTACTGGAAACAGCTGTCAGGAGATCAAACAACACATTACCCTGGGGAAATAGGCTGCACGAGACCACTTCAAAGTGTTGAAAAGCAAAGATGTTACTTTAAGAGTGGTGGGCTGAGACCCCTTTGGGGGTCGAACGACCCTTTCACAGGGGTTGCCCGGTTCCTAACAGTAGCAAAATCACAGTAATGAAGTAGCAAAGAAAATAAGTTTATGGTTGGGGGCCACCACGACATGAGGAACTGCATGAAAGGGTCGTGGCATTAGAAGGTTGAGAACCACTGCTTTGAGGCCTCGGGTGCACCTGACCCAAGCCAAGGTATTTTCAACTGCCTCATGCATGGGAACGGAGGGCACGGGCTGAGGAAGACGTCGGAGAATCGATGCATTTGAACGGCGATGCTGGTGATGACCATGGAGAGCACCAGGGGCTGCCAAAAGAACCAACAAATTTGGCTTGGAAGGATTACAGCTGGGATGTAGCTTAGGAGCAGAGACGGGGCGACTTTGTTTCATGTATTTTGGACGTGTTATCAGAATAAATCAGCCCGTGGAAAAAGCAATCATGCTTAGTAACACAGAGGGACGGTGAAAAGGAGGAAGACTTGTGACAGGTTGGGCTGACACTGTGGCTGCAGTAATGGGTTCAAACTAACAACTATGAGGATGCTGCAGGACTGGGCAGTGTTTTGTTCTGTTACACACAGGGTTGCAAGAATCAGATCTGATTTGAGAGCAAACAGCAACATCTTGCGACCTGACAGATACTGCTTAACTGCTCCAAACTAGATTTATGTCTTTATAGAAAAAAGATATCAAGTCTGCAGGAAAAATATCAGTTCTGTGGTCAAGCATTGGTTCGGGTACTCGCAGACTTTGTACCCCCACACGAGGCACACAATCCCTACAAATCTTGTGCAATGGTTAGGTTTTATGTCAATATGGCTGAACCAGGTTTCTCAGTCCTTTGGCCTACTAATCTTCCTTAATGTAATGGACTTTATGATGGGAACTGCTGTGAGCAGTTGTGGGAGGA